ATTTTTCATGGATGCTCCTACTTTTATAAAACAAAGACAAGCTCAGGTTGGGATTACTCTCAGCTGTATGCCTGAAAGGCAGCTTTGTGTTTAAACAGCAAACTGCCACTTTTTCACCATTGTGTGGCATGGCCTTTCTTTACATGTAAAACTGCATGATCAGTAAAACAGGGAGTGACAGGAAGACTGGATTCTCTTCTCTCAGCAAGTGGATTTCATGCCCGCAGAAGTCCCCGCTAAACCAATTATCATCCGACACCACAGGGCTGACCCGTTCTTCAGAGATTTTTGTTAATTTCTCTCTCATGTACTGGAAATAGTTAATATACCAGGATATTTGTGTATCCGTATGGATGCAGGGGGATGGCAGTTTTTCTGCACCGGCCATGAACTATTATTGGTAAAACTACTTTTACTGCAGGACTGCAAAGTATCAGGTGCTTGCTTGGATCTGATTAAAATTAGGGTTTAGCAATCTCAGAGAGCTTTGTAAATACTGGGCCAGATCCTCAGCTGGTGTCAATCAGCAACTTCATTGAGGTTGATGGAGCTGTACAGTTTTACACCAGGTGAAGATCTGGCTTTCTCAGTATAACTGTGGTTCTGAAGCCCACAGACACTTTATATGATAGATCCCTACTATGCAATGCAGCATTCTTGATCTGAATCTATTTCCCCTCTGGTCAAGAAGTCATGTACTAACCAAGATAAATGCTCTATCATTAAAGAAAAACTATACTGTGTAGAATTAATGAAACCTCACAACATCCCTGTGAGGTAGGTACAAATTATTACAGCCATTTTACAGATGGAGAAACAGAGGCACAGAGAGGTTTAATGATTTTCCCACGATCACATAATGAGTCAATAGCAGAGCTGGGAATAAATCTGGCAAAACTAATTCTACATCCACTGCTTTAGACACTAACCAACACCAACTTCCATGTTCTACTTTAAGTCAAGACTCTGCCTCTCTCTCCCCCACCCATCTACTTTGGTGAGTTTGACACTTGCATATTACACTCCTCACAAAAAAACCCCATGAAATCAGTCAGTAACTTGTTTGTAGGGGGCAGCCAAGCACATTCCTACTCTCAGCTTCCTTATTCCATGGCTCTAACTGTTCAGTGACTTCCCAGCCAGGGAGTGGATTTTTGCCCTCCTTGCTATGTTTCCCTGTGTTTTGCATTACCATTTGTTAAATATATTATGTGCTAAACTCACAGCTCAGAGGCCATTATGTGACTTCATTAGGAATTTCACCAAGAAATTGTTGGATTTACTGTCATTATTTCTCAAATAGTTTCAGATCTTGAAATTATGCTAATACTTTTGCCCTCTATAGGGCCTTGCATCTAAGGATCAAAAAGTGTTTTACTAATATTAATCAATTAAGCCTCACAACACCCTTGTGAGGTAGGAAATTATTGCTCAGCCTGATTTTACAGTGGGAAAAATTAGTTGCCCAAAGTGACCCAGTGAATTAGTGGCAGAACTGAGAATAGAAACCAGGAGGCCTGATTCCCACTTCTCTGCTCTGATTGTTAGGAAACACTGCCTCTAGTCCTCTGTACACACATTTAGGCTACAGACTGTGTAAGGAACACAGTGGGACAGTCTAGAACTGGGTTGAGGAACGAAACAAGCAGTTGGTTGTATGCCGCAGGGAGAGTGGAGTGGGTTTTCATTGTGCTGTGTATCATATTTGGTGTTGTATCAGGAGCCTGCAGGTACTGCCATGAAGTAGGTACATCACATGCTCCAAATAAATTTAATACATGGACTTTGTGCAGTCTTTTACACCCATATGCTACAGCACAAATGACATATTCCACATGTCATGTGTAATATCTGGATTGGGGCGACGGACATATTCCGCCCTCTGGTACATGAGCATGTAAGTCCCAATGACTGTGATGGGAGTGCTGCATGCACAAAGGAGGGCAGAAATTGGCTCTAATACATGTCAGAGTGTCAATAACATAGACAGTTATTAATATGTCTGATTGTTTAAAGAGACCTGTCGAGTAATTAGAAATGTAGGCATTAGACCCCTATTCTGATATTTGGCAGTGTCACATGCTTCTCAGGGAGGAGCAAGAAACCTCATAATGAACAGTAGTTGAATTTCCTTCCATAGAGGAAGTGTGTTTCTAATGCCATTCAGTTAGTGGTCTCATTCATGCCATGAAGCATGAGGTTTTATATCCCATCTTTAAATTGAAAAATAGTGTATCTTATCCGGTGAAACAGCAAATGTTCTTATAATTCATGTAGATGTCTGATCCTATTTTGAATCCTACTAAGCTTTTGGCCTCACTGAATTCTTGTGGCAATGAGTTACACAGGTTAATTATGAGCTGTACAGAAGGTATTTTCTTTTATTAGTTTCCCAGTTGTTGCCTTTCAGTTTCATTCATTGCCCACCCTTGTTTTTGTATTATGAGAGACTGATTGGGAGAATCTAAATGGTCTTCTCTGCACCATCCATTGTTTTATATTCCTCTAATATATCCCCTCTTAATTACCTTCTCTCTGAACTAAACAGTCGCAATCTTTACAGTCCCTCTTCAAAAGGAAGCTTCTTAATGCCCCTAATGATCTTTATCAAGAGCATGTGTTGTGAGATCAGGCTGCAGACATTAGGAAAAGACAAGCCCAAAAGGAACAAAATTATTAATAATGTAAAAATGTGGTGCTGTTATAGTACCAAAGAATCCAAAAGCGCTTTACAAAAATTATACATACATAGAGTAATCACATCACCCACCAGTGAAGTGCAGCTATCTCTGGAGTGTAATGTGGCAGCTCTTTAACAAGGCACAGGAACTCCATAGAGGATAGTAACTGCCAAATATCATAGTATCCAATTGAAACTGTAAGGGGCATTTACTGTAGGGGAACAGAATATTGCAATTCAGCTAGGTCATCAGAACTAGGCATTTGATCCAAAGCATACTAAAGTCAATAGAAAGATGCCTATTGACTTCAGTGGGCTTTCTGTCAGGCTGTATTCAGAGTAGCAGCCGTGTTAGTCTGTATTCGCAAAATGAAAAGGAGTGCTTGTGGCACCTTAGAGACTAACAAATTTATTTGAGCATAAGCTTTCGTGAGCTACAGCTCACTTCATCAGATGCATTCAGTGGAAAATACAGTGGGGAGATCCTGCTCTTATATAAGAGTCTATGGGCTTTTTCTAGTCATTTGCAGGATTCAGTTTTGTCCCATGTGAAGTAAATTTTCTGAACTGGATTATACTCCCCACTTGAAACAATACATATGAGCTGCTGCACAGAAGAGAGAATTTGCTGAGCTATCAGGGACTGAGGTCTGGAAAGCAGAACAGAGGAAAGCATGTACCCAGTAGCATAGTTGAGGGTAAATGTAGGTAAACGGCATTTACCCACTTCTCAGTTGCGAAATAAGGTTCGCACACTCACTTTTTTTTTTTTAAACCACTTCACATACCTATACTTTTCAGGCATCAGACTCAGTCTTTGCAGGAAAAAGTGATTAACCTGAAACTTTTAAACAAGTTTTAAACTTTTAAACTTTTGCTGCTCTGTCCCAGCCAAAGAGAGACTTTTGTGTCCCTAAAGTTAGAAATCCATGGATATTTTTAACATTAGCAATTAGAAAATTGATGTCCTTTCTTCTTCATTTCTTTTTAAACCAAAACAGACTTTGCTGGAGCTCTATGGCATTCCTTTAGTCCTCTGGGTACAGATATTTTCTATTACTGATCCTTTGAATAGCCTTGTTATATTCATTTGTGACATTTGTGTTCAGTAGCTAAGTAGATTATTGGAAGCCTCCTGCAGATGGAGTTTCTTAACAAATTAGCAACAAAGCAGGATGTCTAATGACGATTGTTACATCATTCAAACTAAGGGCCTATTTTTCAAACTTAGACACTTAAATCGGGTCAACCAATTTTGCATTTGGGTGTTTAAGCAGTCACTTGGCCACCAAAATCCACATTTTAGGCTCCTAAATGCCAACCTGAGTGTCCAAGACACTCCCTCAGATTTGCCGAGTGCGCATAACTCCCTGGGAATTACAAGAAGGAAGTACCTTTCACAATCAAGCTGCAAATGCAGGGCTGGGAGCCTTAATTTGGGCATTGTGCTCTATGTACTGTAGTTGTTCTACTTACAGATGCCTTCCCATCACTCCTTTGCTAAGTCAATTCCCACACCTCAAGTCTCACTCAGCAACCAATCTTACTTTAATTTACTCTTTTCCCCAGTTTGACAGAGGCCTTTAGCTGAAATGACCCTTTGGGAATAAATAATCCATTTGTGGACATCTGCTAAATTCTAACAAGAAACTAGCTTTAATCTTTTCTGTTATCAAGGTCACTTGTAGAGCAGAAATGTTTCTAACAAAGGGGCTGCTGGGAAAGTATAAACAGCTGAAATTTGCATTCACAGACAAAGCCAGGCCATTTTGGCAATAATATTTTGAACTAGTTTCATGATATTAAACACAGGATCCTTTTTTTGTGAATTAAATAACTGCAATTCTATGCCAGCAATGAAAGGAGGACCAATGTCAGAATGCCACAGGCTAAAATAGAGTAAGAAATACCCAGAGAGCTATTTTTCAACCCTTCAGCCAGATACTGTCTGAAAGAGCCATTCTCCCACATCTCCAGTGAAATGTGGAACATAAAACTGTCAGCAAGTGCAGTCACAGTGGATACATTTGGGTTTTGGGTTTTTTTTCTGTTTTAGTTTTTAAAATGCTTCAGTGCTGTGTATAGCACAGGTACTGGGAGTAGTGAGCTGGTATCTGGAGAAAAGAAACCGTTCCTTTGAATATGTTACAGGATAGCTAGCACCAGCCATGGGACATACAGGACAGATAAGGTGCAGTTACAATGATAGCACCTTTCCAGCTGAGAATCTCAATAGGAAATATTCAAATGACCATTTGAGCGCTTTGTTTAAAAACATCTGTGATTGTGTGTGTGTGTGTGTAGTTGCTTCCCCACACCCTTATACAGTCAAATCATCTGACCTGGCCCGGCTGCTGGCTTTGCTTAGCCTGCTGGGAGGTCTCGTATCAGCTGTCAGTTCTACAGGCACTGAAGGCAGTTCCTCTCCTGGTGGCTCCTGCTCCTCTACCACCTTCTCCACCTCCTGCTCTTCTTCTGGTTCCTGTTCCTCTTCCCCTGCTTCTACCTTCTCCTCTTTCTGCTCTTCTGCTTGAGCATAGGAAGGCAACCTCTCATCAAAGGCCCTGGATAGGTCTTCCAGGGGCCCCATACCAAGCTTCTCATCCAAGTCATTGAAAGAAGATGGAGGGGGACCAGCTTCTACCCCCACTTCTGTCAAAGGTAAATAGTGGGACACTGGCTTCTCCTCCTCCAGCAGCCTGTAGCCCTTGACCTTCTGAATGGAAGAGACTGCAATGGAGTGGAGGGGCTTCTCTGGGATCTCCCTCTGTTGTTCTTCTGTTGGCCTCCTGAAAACCAGGCGGATCCTTTTCAAGATCAAGTAACTGATCTCCACAAGGTTGAGGATGAGGGATACTGAGGCCACGGCCAGCATAAACATAATGAAGACTGTCTTCTCAGTGGGCCTGGATACAAAGCAGTCCACAAGGTTGGGGCAGGGCCACCGGCCACAGCGGTACAGGGGCAGAATTCGGAAGCCATATAAGAAGTACTGGCCCACTATGAACCCCACCTCGAAAATGGCTTTGAAAATGATGTGACAGATGTAGGTTCCCAGGAGTGTTCCCTCCAGTCGGAACTTCTTGGCCCCTTTGGGGTTGATTTCATTGGTGTTCCTGGTGCTCTCTTGGTCTGGAGCCAGGGGTAGCCTCTCTTCATCCATCTCAGCTTGCTGTTGCCTTTCTGCCCGCTCCCTCTCTCTCTTCTTCTCCGCCATCCGTACATGATGCACCGCGTACCCCACGTACACCAGTGAAGGGGTAGAGACAAAGATGATCTGCAGGACCCAGAGCCGGATGTGGGAAATAGGGAAGGCCTCATCGTAGCAGACATTCTCACAACCAGGCTGCTGTGTGTTGCACACAAAGTCTGACTGTTCATCTCCCCAGACAAATTCAGCAGCTGTTCCCAGAATCAGGATTCGAAAAATGAAGAGCACAGTGAGCCAGACTCTCCCGATGACTGTGGAGTGCTCATTCACTTCTTCTAAAATGTTCCCCAAGAAACTCCAGTCACCCATCTCTTACTATCTAAGGGAAGAGAAGGAAAGAATGGCCATAAATTACACTAAATAATTTTTTTCTACTGATGCATAACTTCCGTCTTCCTTTAAGTTGTATGTATTTCTCCAAAACAGCCTATACCTTGAAAATGTTTTTGCCTTATGTTACAGTGTTCTATTAGAGGAGAGAAAACTAAGAAGCCAGGGAAATTTCCTCTGTAAACTCTCTCTGTTGTGCCTCTAAATATTCAATAACTTCTCAGCCAAGGAGTATATTTGACCACTCTTCTGTATAGCAGCTGTCTGTGAGTTTTGCATGATCAATTGTAAGTGTGTGAATGTGATTTTGTTTTATATATTCTATAAATACAGGACAGTCATGTAGTGTAAAGGTTTTATCAGCATGGAGTTTAGGGTGACTACATTACTTGCAAATGACAGAATCACAAGTGAGTTGAGTGGGTAATCCCAAATGAGAGTCCATGCCACACCACACTGTCATTAATTCTTTACAGGCCACACACATTACATCTAATCTATTTTAGGAATCTTTTAGATAGTTCCAATAACATTTTTTTTAAACTATTTTGTGTGCCTGTAAAGTCGGATGCCTCCGTTACTCTGAGTTCAGCTCATAAAAACAAAGCCATAAAAACCTATCAAAGTGACCTAAAATAATATTTTTATATCTAAAAATGTCATGACTTATCTCAGGATTTCCCAGGGCTAGAAGCCAGTGCTGTGGGTATCCCATTTAGAAGCTGGAAATCTCCCCTTTCTAAAGCTCCCATTTCTAGTCCTGCAGGGACAAACTTTAAAGTTGTAACATTTTTATACATAGAGAAGCTACCACCAGTCCAGAACTCAATCTGGCCCATTCAAGGCATCTGACTAGTGCAATTCTGGGGAAGGGAGGGGAAGAGGCCTCAGCTACGGAGGAGCAGGCTGATTTAATAAATTAGGGCCATTTAAAGCTCCTGAGGGATTTGGAATGTTCCATTAAATCCCAGGGAGGTTGATTAGTGAAAGATTGCAAGTGAGGCAGTGAAAGGTGCTGAATAAATATATTCAATCACATGGGTCTACAAGATCACGGCCACATAAGTGGAATATATCTCCACAGCGGGGAGACCTCTCTGGGGTTTTCTGTCCTCTGGGAATGACACAAATTATTGGATAAGATAAAGATGTATCAAGACTAAAATGGAGTTATTATTCTGGCACTTGTACCACATGAAAATGTAAGTTCACATCTCTGTGTTAAAACCAATGAGAATGTGATGTAATTCTTCCATTTATACACACACACACAGATGTGCAAGGTAGGTGAACCACGATTTCAGGACACGTGATTTAAACAGCAAGTCACATTGCTGCTTTATCAGCCACTAAAGTTGTGTAAAGAAGTGTATTAATGTGAGCACTTACTTAATGAAATCTTTGTACTGTATTTGTTCGTTTACATACATTATCTAAACTAATTTAAGAGTTCCATTACTACAAATCCACATAGCATTTCCTTTAATCCTAAAATAATTCCTTTGATTAATAAACCAGACAATTAGCAGTCATGTGCAACTAAGTAAAAATCACTACTTTACCTACACAATATAAAGTTCATTCTCCAGTCAATGTAGTTAACACAGTCCCACTGATACAGGGCAGTCTTTGCAATGATCTAACATGGATATCCTCTGCTATCAATGAGCTGCCTCCACCCTAGCTTGAAAATGTGACATTGTTATGCATGGTAAATCTGTTTATCTTACAGACAACTCACTGTAACAGAGAAAGAAAAAATGGCTTCTGACTACTTTCTTCTAAAATCCTACAAGCAACTTGCCGCAGTTGGATAAACCCTTCTCAGGAACTTCTCTGAACTAGCATCACACATTTCAGAAATCTGTCTTGTTCCACCTTCTACTTAATGAGCCTTTGTAAATGAACTGGTTCTTAAGCTGCTGTTTGTGGGCTACCTGGCACAACCCTCCAATCATCTATTAAAATTAACTTGGACAAAGCACTAGAAAAGGTACTGCAAGGAACCATCCTGCACTGGCAGGAGTTGGAAAATATGACCATCTCTGATTTCTAGGATTCTACCAGAAACCAACCAGCCATACCAACCCCACAAGGTCCAACATGAACACTAGGCTCCAGTGCATTAAGTTTGGGTTGTAGCTTTTAGGGTGGGAAGTTCAAAAGTGCTTAAGTGAATTAGGAGCACAAGTCCCACTGAAAGCCAACAGTATTTGAAAATCCCTCCCTTAAATTCCAAATGGTATGATCTGATCAAGCTAGAAACAAAAGAAAGCATATATAAATTAAGGCCATCCAGCAAGCAACTTGCCACAGTAAAAGACTCCCCCGAAGGAACGTGTCCTCCTTCTCTCTTGGCACTCTGCAGCGAAGAGTGAACTTTTGTCTCTTTCCTTCCCTACTGTAAAAGTCCCAACCTGGTCGCACGACTGAGCAGATATGACTGAATCGGCTCTGATGGGTGGGTTTTAGTTGCCCTGCAATATTTAAGCTCCAAGCCAGACAGCTTTATGAAGTGAGTGACATTTGGTGATGTGGAGAACAATAGAGGAGAAAGAGTCAGAGATGGAGAGAAGAGGAGAATGCATTGAACATGAAAGGATGGGGGAGGGCTAGGGATGGGCAACCGGCAGTGAAAATTCAACACATGCACAAATGGAGTTTGCACAGCCCAGGAAAGTTTGTTCTACATTCAGACGTTCATTTGTGTAGTGGGGAAACTATTAGGCAGAAGCTGAAGCATCTCTACTATTCTGCTTCACTGTAGCTGAAGAAAGAGCACTCACACCTCTCATGATGGCAGATCTGACTAAATGAAAGGGACCTCTGCCATCACCCTGTGCCTAGTTCTGGCAGCTGGACTCCAAAGGTGGTTTCTAGGGTATGTGTTTGTTGACACTTAAGGCCAGATCTTTTGTAGTTGGCAAACACATTTTTTGGGGGAAAGGGAGTGAAAATATTGATTGTTCCCCTCACCTTTCAGCACAGGCATTAGGTATTTAATACTGGGGAGGTTTCTTCTGGTCTTGGCTCACATGACACATGCAGGGCTACATCCTCATCCGATGTCAATCAGTACAGCTCCACTGAAACCAATGGAGTGATGCCAGTTTACCAGTCTTTCTCTCTGCAGCCATAGAAATGCAAGCTGCTGGGTTCCCTTGTCTTCCTAGGAGGAAGGTCTTTGCCTAAGCAGGTTTCTCACATATATTCTGTTCCCATAGACTTCAGCCTACTGGGTGAAGAACCCGTCTCTCTCAGCTTGCAAGAGCTCTGGCCCCTTGTGTCTGTCCAGTGATGGATGCCAAGATGGCTTCTTCTCTCTCCTTATATCTGCCCAAATTCACTGTTTTGTCCCCAAACTATAGGCATCGACTACGTGAGTGCTCCAGGGCTCAGGCACCCATGGAAAAAAATAGGGGGTGCTCAGCACTCATGAGCCATAGTGGTTCCTGGGCCCCCTCCCTCAGAGTTTCATACCTGAGGTCTGCTCACAGTGCATGTCCTAGCCCCAGACAGAGCTTGTGTGTGGAACATAATAAATTCTGTGCTGCTCCCAGCTTCTGCCCTTGGGGCAGGGAGTTTCTTTATAAACAGAGGGAGGGTGATTAAGATAACAAAAAGCTTGTCATTAAATTACATTAAGGATCGTTAGATGATCCTGAAAGCATTGCCAGGCACTCCAGTTAAAAGATAGGAAACAAAGGGTAGGAATAAATGGTCCATTTTCAGAATGGAGAGAGGTAAATAGTGGTGTCCCCCATGGGTCTATACTGGAACCAGTGCTGTTCAATATATTCATAAATGATCTGGAAAAAGGGGTAAACAGTGAGGTGGCAAAATTTGCAGAGGATACAAAATTACTCAAGATAGTTAAGTCCAAAGCTGACTGCAAAGAGTTACAAAGTGATCTCACAAAACAGGGTGACTTGGCAACAAAATAGCAGATGAAATTCAACATTAAATTCAAAGTAGTGCACATGGCAAAATATAATCCCAACTTTACATACCAAATGATGGTGTCTAAATTAGCTGCTACCTGTCAAGAAAGATCTTGGAGTCATTTGCAGTACTCTGGAAGCACTATGCTCATTCTCCAGCTTCAGAAGACTTAAAAATTATCTCCAGTCATCAATGGGACAGACGCAACGGAATAATGTAGCTGTCCTTAACATGCATCAAGACCATACCTGGAAACTAGATGTAAATAAGATTGCTGACAGTTTCATCCAGAAAGACATAATGTCTTTAAATTGGGATGTTAGTGAAGACAGCCTGTAGATGAGTGCAATGATTGTAATATACTGTAATTCATGATAATGTAATTATGTAGTTCATAAAGTAATTATTAGAATAGTAAAGATACCAGTGATAGACACATATTCAATAACTAGAATATGAAAGTATATGAATATGCCAAAAATAGTCTCCCTGCAAAACTGATAGAGCCTCTCCCCACAACACATACTTCTTCAAAAGCACCTACCAGCAAAAACAAAAGACAGCACCTATGCCCCAGACTCAAGATGACCTTGTGCTGTTCTTCCATTCCTGTGGTCCTCCCATCCTCCTGCTGATTTGTATGTAAATAGATCCCCCATTGTTTTTGGTCATACCTTGCTCAATTTAATTGGAGACAGGTAGATAGCTGCCTTCCCTTCTGTTTCTCCCTTTGTTTGGTCACAGGCTTTAAAGCAGGGGTGGGCAAACTTTTTGGCTCAAGGGCCACATCTGGGAATAGAAATTGTATGGTGGGCCATAAATGGTCACAAAATTGGTGTGGGGTGCAGGAGTGGGTGCAGGCTCTGGTTGGTGGTGCGGACTCTGGGGTGGGGCTGAGGAGATTGGGGTGTAGGAGTGTGCTCTGGGCTGGGACCGAGGGGTTCAGAGAGCAGGGGGGGTCAGGGCTGGGGGTTGAGGTGTGGGAAGGGGTGCAGGCTCCAGCTGTGGGGGTGCAGGCTCTGGGTTGCAGGAGGATG